GTCCTGTTGCGCCAGTGGCACCAATTCCACCTGTGCCGCTGGTCCTTGCTGCTGATGCTTCTCAGGCTGCCCAGGATGCGGCCAAGGTCCTAGATGATGCTGCGGTTGATGCCTATGATCAGCAAGTATCCGCCTATTCAGATGCTCTTTCTATGTACCGTGATGACCTGTCTGCTTATACTCAATGGTGCAATGATGATGCTCGAGCTACTGCTGTTCTCACTGCGAGTGTCCTCCCTCAGTTTGCTTCGGAGTTCATGGGACTTGGCACAGTTGCAGCGATGTGGTCTTACATCTGTCAGCGCTATCGGCCCTCTGGTGATGCTCTCTACCTCTCTGTGGTGCATCAGGAGCACGTACTCCAGCAAGGTGATTCCCCTATTGATGAGTTCTATTCACAGTGGTCTGGCATCTGACACCAGCTTGACTCTCTTCAGACAGTTGTTTGTGGAACTTGCCGTTGCTGTCAGACTATTCGGTCTGATCTGGAGTTTCAGAGGGTTCATGAGTTCTTATCTCGTCTCCGGTCTGAGATTGAGCCTCGACGGGCGCACCTGCTTGCTCGTGGTCATGTTCCCATCTCGGAGGTCCTTGCCAAGCTTCGTGCTGAGGAGACCCGCCTTCGCTCTGCTGGGTTGCTTCTGGTTCCGTCAGTATTGGCCGCCCGAGCTCCTGTGTCGTCTGCTCGCCCCACTGCTCCGCCGCTCCTGCCCACTCCTTCAGGGGGGGGGTGAGTCGTCCTCCATATGCTAAGAAAGGCACCTCGCGCCGTGACACCGTCTGTGGTTATTGCTCCCGATCCGGTCACCCAGAGTCTGATTGTCGTCAGAAGAAGCGTGACCAGAGGCGCTCCTCCTCCGGTGGGACTCCTGTGTCTTCCTCGACTTCGTCACTCACTGATCAGGACATTGTTCGCCTCAAGCGTCTTCTTGCTTCCTCAGGCTCCTCGTCGACTCCTTCTGCTGCTGCTATGACTGCATCCCCGCTCTCACCACCACCGGCATCTACACAGTCAGGTACATCTTCGTGGGTTCTGGATTCTGGAGCCTCCTTTCATATGTCTTCTGATTCTTCTGCGTTGTCTTCTCTCCGACCTCTTGATTCGCCTGTTAATGTTCTTACTGTTGATGGCACATCTCTTCCTGTTGCTAGTCGTGGTATTCTTTCCACTCCATCTTTTTCTGTTTCGAGTGTTTCTCATGTTCCTTGCCTCACCATGAATCTTTTTTCTGCTGCCCAACTTACTGATTCTGGTTGTCGTGTCATTCTTGATATCGACTCTTGTTCCATTCAGGATCGTCGCACCAAGGCTTTGGTTGGTGCTGGCCCCCGGCGCCGTGAGTCAGAGGGCCTTTGGGAGGTTGACTGGCTTTGTGTTTCTTCCGCTGCCACCACTTCTGCCAGCTCTCATGCTCTTGCTGCCTCTTCGTCTGCGTCCTTCCAGCAGTGGCATCATCGCCTTGGTCACATCTGTGGCTCTCGCTTATCTTTTTTAGTTCGTCAGTGCCTCTTAGGGTTTGTATCTGGAGATGTCTCCTTACATTGTAATGGTTGCGGACTTGGCAAACAGACTCGGTTACCTTATCCTACTAGTGAGTCTGTATCTCAGCGTCCTTTTGACTTAGTTCATTCTGATGTTTGGGGTCCTGCTCCCTTTGATTCGAAAGGTGGTCATCGCTACTATGTTTTGTTTATTGATGATTTCTCTCGCTACACTTGGCTCTACTTCATGAAATCTCGTAGCGAGGTTCTCCCTATATACAAACGTTTTGCTGTCATGGTTCACACCCAGTTTGCCACGCCCATCCGTACTTTTCGTGCTGACTCTGCTGGAGAGTATATCTCTCAGCTGTTGCGTGGTTTTCTCGCGGAACAGGGTACTCTTGCCCAGTTCTCCTGTCCTGGTGCTCATACTCAGAATGGTGTTGCCGAGAGCAAGCATCGTCACTTGCTTGAGACGACTCGTGCGCTGATGATTGCGGCTTCCCTTCCACCCCATTTTTGGGCTGAGGCTGTTTCCGCATCCACCTATCTCATCAACATTCAGTCATCCACTGCTCTGCAGGGTGGCATTCCTATGGAGTGTCTTACTGGTCGCTCTCCTGACTACTCAGCTCTTTGTATGTTTGGATGTGTCTGCTATGTTCTTCTTGCCCCCCGAGAACGCACCAAACTGACTGCTCAGTCGGTTGAGTGTGTTTTCCTTGGCTACAGTGATGAGCACAAGGGCTATCGATGTTGGGATCCCGTGGGTCGTCGCTTGCGCATCTTGCGTGATGTGACTTTTGACGAGTCTCGTTCTTACTACCCTCGTTCTTCTTCCTCGAGTTTCTCTGTGGATGACCTTTCTTTCCTTCTCCTTCCCGATACACCCTGCTATCTCTTCCTTGGGAGATGTGTGCCTCCTCTGTCACCTCTTCCTCCGGCACCTCTCATTCCTTCTCATTCACCACCAACCCCGTCTTCTCCATCCTCCTCCTCCACCTCTCCCCCATCCTCTCCAGTCCGTCGCCCTCTCTCACCGTTTCCTCTCCACTATACTCGATGATCTCGTACCGAGGATGTCTCCTCTGACGAGCCTTCCACCTCTGGTGCATCTCCTCTCACACCTCCTCCGGTTCATAACCTTCATGCTCGGCCTCGCCCTCCGCCTGATCGCTACTCTCCTGATCGGTACGGTCTCTCTGTTTTGACTGAGCCCACTTCCTATCGCACTGCCATGACTCAGCCTGAATGGCAGCTTGCGATGGCCGAGGAGCTTGTTGCCCTTGAGCGCTCTGGCACATGGGATCTGGTTCCCCTCCCTTCCGGTGTCCGTCCCATCACGTGCAAGTGGGTCTACAAGCTTAAGACTCGCTCCGATGGTTCTCTTGAGCGCTACAAAGCTCGTCTTGTGGCCCGTGGCTTCCAGCAGGAGCAGGGGCGCGATTATGATGAGACTTTCGCTCCTGCGGCCCACATGACCACTGTCCGCACTCTTCTTGCTGTGGCTTCTGTTCGTCAGTGGTCTATCGCTCAACTTGATGTTCAGAATACTTTTCTCAATGGCGAGTTGCGTGAGGAGGTTTATATGCAGCCACCACAGGGGTACTATGATCTAGATGGTATGGTCTGTAGACTTCGCCGCTCCCTATATGGTCTCAAACAGGCCCCTCACGCCTGGTTTGAGCGCTTCACATCTGTGGTGACCGCCGGTGGTTTCTTGCCCAATGACCATGATCCCGCGTTGTTTGTTCACACGTCTCCTCGTGGTCGGACTCTGCTCCTTCTCTATGTTGATGACATGATCATCACCGGTGACGACACTGATTACATTGCCTTTGTTAAGGCTCGCCTTCACGACCAGTTTCTTATGACTGATCTTGGTCCACTTTGCTACTTTCTTGGGATTGAGATCTCCTCGACCTCCGATGGCTTCTACATCTCCCAAGAAAAATATATTCAGGATTTTCTTGCTCGCGCTGCTCTCGGTGATGAGCGCATGGTTGTGACTCCTATGGAGCTCAACGTTCAGCTTCGTGCCACCGATGGTGACCTCTTCCTAATCCCACTCGCTATCGTCACCTTGTTGGCAGTCTTGTCTATCTTGCTGTCACGCGTCCTGACATCTCCTATCCTGTCCACATCCTGAGTCAGTTTGTTTCAGCCCTCACCTCTGTCCACTATAGTCATATCCTCCGTGTTCTACGATATCTTCGTGGCACGATCTCTCAGCGCCTTTTCTTTCCCCGCTCCAGCTCTCTTGAGCTCCATGCCTACTCTGATGCTACCTGGGCTAGTGATCCCTCTGATCGACGCTCACTGTCTGCTTATTGTGTCTTTCTTGGTGGCTCTCTTATTGCCTGGAAGACAAAGAAACAGACGTCAGTTTCTCGCTCGAGTACAGAGGCTGAGTTGCGAGCCATGGCGATGTTGACGACTGAGGTGATCTGGTTACGGTGGTTACTTGAGGATTTTGGTGTGACTGCTATTACCTCGACTCTCTTACTGTCAGACAGTACTGGCGCTATCAGTATTGCGCGTGACCCGGTGAAGCATGAGCTCACCAAGCACATCGGTGTGGATGCCCACTTTGTGCGTGCTGCTGTGCAGGATCAGACTCTCGCTCTTCACTATGTGCCCTCTGAGTTACAGTTGGCGGACTTCTTCACCAAGGCACAGACTCGAGCGCAGCACGACTTTTTTCTCTCCAAACTCAATGTTGTTGATCCACCATGAGTTTGAGGGGGGTGTTAGATGTGTATAGTCTCTTTTCGGTATATCCCCGTTGTATAAGGGGTTTTCTGCATTTTGACACACATGTATATGTAATGGCCTTTGGCCCTCAGGAAATACTAGTTGCTGTTTATCCAATAGTAGTCAAACACAACAATTTCTCACTCCAACAGTAGCAAGTAAACAGGGGATTGACTTGAGCCAGAGTAACACCTTGTTAACAGAAAAAGGCAAAGTAAAAAAGATAAGCAAACTTGATGATTCCTGATACTTGGTCTGATGCTTCCATATTGCCTGTCCATGCCAAACAAACCATTTAAAACTTAGAAGAACTAGATGCATTGTTGATTATGTTAATAAATAAGATAAGATAGGTGAAACGTGCATGAACAATTTGGGAGCAGCAAGCAATAAAATCACCTAACTAGTAACAGGACATGGCTTTCAAAAGTTGGCTTGGCTGGAAGCCCAAGCAAGCTTGCCCTCAGCATTGCCGGAGATAGCAAGAAGACATCCAATGCTGGCGTCCGTGAGAGAGAAAGGTGTGCAGTTAAAAGTCTTGCTGCTCATATCAACACGGACCCAAAAGCTTGGCGTGGATGGAAAGCAGAACTCCGGATCCTGATAAATGTACTCACCCAGTGCGAAATTGATGACATGGTCTTCCTGCATGCTGAGGAAGGGGTACATGGGTGCCATGGAGGTCGGCAGGTGGTTCCCTTTGAAAGCCCCCTCTTCACGCAGGCTCCCAAGCTTGAACTCGTAGTCTAAATCCCAACTCATATCTTTCTTGAGTCTCCAGACCGTCAACATGCGGTCATCCACAAGATTGACACGCTCAAGGAAGCCGGTGATGGAGACAAACTTGATGGAGTCCCCAACACAGCCCACGGCTCGAAAGGCCCTCACCTCTGGTATGTAGTCTCTGCAGCTGAGGTAACTCTTGCACCCCACAGGCAGGCCTAGGGAGCGGACGTCCACGGAACGCTGGCCGGAGAGAAGATCAACGCAGTCACAGTACATGCCACCGAGCAAGAGATCCATCCAGTAACCACGGCCACGGTGCGAGAACACCTCTTTGGCGACGAAGTCGCTTTTCTCCGCGAGCAGATGGTCGGGGAACTCAGCGCGCTTGGCTATCTCCCACTGTGAGTCGGACGAGGACGGAGACACGAAGAGAACGGGCTCCTGTCTAGAGCCTACGCCGCGGACGGACCCCGGGAAGGCCAGGGCGTAGCACATGTCATCGTCCTGTCGGCGCGCGACGAGGAGACGGGCCGTGAGGACGGTGGCGCGAGTGGGCGAGCTGGGCCGAGACGGGATCATGTGGAGCGATCTGTCGATCGTGTTGTAGATGAGATAGATGTCGCGGTGGTAAACCTCGGGAAAGGACGTTATCATGAGGATCAGGTTCTTGTCGACGGCATGGATGCAGGTGGACAACGGGGGGACGCCTCGGAGGGTCAGGCGGCACAGATCAGGCGCGCCGGCGAGGTCTGCTTCTAGCGCCATGCCCCGCATGAGCTCGTCGCAATCGAGGTCCGTGGGGAACCCGAATGCCTCTTTGGCTGACAGCAAATTCTTCTTGTTGTCGGCTGTTTCCTCGCCCGGGCGGGACGTGCGCACCAAGGGATCCAATAGGAACAGGGAAGGCGAGGGTGGAATCGTCATGACTGACGTTTCGTCGGCTGATAGTATTGGTGCGTGTGTCGTGGGGGGTAGGCGCCGGCGGCGGAGAGGATGATGAATACGTTGAGGTGCCAAAGGGCAAGACGGCGCGAGGGCAAAGATGAGGAAATAAGCAAATTTAACAGAAGGAGTATCCACCGATCTCTGTCTATATTAGGATTCGTGAACGTTGTACAGGGAAACTCTTCTTCCAATCCGACGTCTGATTTATATTTCAATCGTCAGACCAATCCTCGTCCGACCATGCTACACAATCTGTTACCGCAGCCTGAAAACTCTCCTAATACCGCAACCTGTTACGCAATCCCCTCCCGACAAAAAACAGTAATTATCCCGATCGTTCATGACATAGCTCATCTCCCCGGTCAACTGCGCCGCCCCATTTTTCTCCCGTGCGCTGCCTCCAGCTCCAAGGTCGCCGTCGATTGACTGATTGTGATTGTGTATTGTATGTAGGCGCTTACCCCAGTTTTCGCCCTGATAGCGCCTCGGTACCAGTTCACGGGTTCCAGCAAGAACGGGCCGGCGGTGTCGCGCGACCCGGAGGCGCTGAGGGTCAAGTACTCGGACCCGCTGGTTTTCACGGGGTCCATCCGGGTGCGCACCGGCTACGAGATCCTCCGGCTCACGGCCTACCTGCAGCAGCACCTGCGCAGGGTCACGGTGCCGCTGCTGGTGCTGCACGGCGCCGACGACATGGTGACCGACCCGGAGGGCTCGCGCCGGCTGCACCGGGAGGCCTCCACCCCGGACAAGGCCATCCGGCTCTACGACGGCCTGCTGCACGACCTCCTCATCGAGCCCGAGAAGGAGGTGGTGCTGGGCGACATCGTCGACTGGCTCAGCCCCAGGATCTGACACATCACGCTGGTCGCCGCGCCGGCCGGCCGGTCCGTGGGCTGAGGCAGGAGGGTCGGATCATGTCCGCCGAGCGTGTCGGGGACAAAAGTCCGTCCCCGGCGGTGATGACGCGGTTGGTCCGATCGCCTGCGCCCCAGAGCGAGGACGGCGAGGATGGTGATGATCTTCTTCATCCTCCCATCCCGGCGGAGGAGGCAGTTTTGCGAGCGCGGGAAGCTGCATTAGTAACTACCACTACTACTAGTACGTTGTGGTGCGGTACGGGGTGACGACTGGTGGTGGCCGAGATTGCTCTGCTCCCGGTGTGTGTGTCCCGAGCTATGTTTTTGACCCATATTTTTGTCCGGTAGGGTAAACAAACGTTCGTTCCTTGGAGTCGCCCGGTGTGGTGCTCAATAATGTAGACGCCTACCTTCCCTCTCGCAGGGGATGTTTTTCTGTGTCTCGAAAGATTCTCAATCAGAATCTGCGGCAGAATTGATTTGATTTCCTTGGGCTTGTCCTTTGTCACAATGTATTATTGTGTTGCTCGCTGCTGCAGTGTTGTTGGGCTCGTGGAGCTTTCGGCTTTGACGATCTTGACGCCAGTGGCTGGCCGCGTCCCTGTGTCTCGCTCGGCGCACAGCGTTCTCAGGATTTCGCTGGCTGAACTCGCGGTTCTGTCCAGAGATGTCGCGCTCGACTTTTTCACGACGGCGAGAGCTGAGAGGGCAAAAATCGGCCCGGAAATGGGGGTGCGGCCGAGAGTGGTGATTCCCCGATCTGATCTACGAGTGGATGGCCCGCTGCCGCTTTCTATCGCGATGTGTGAGGTCAGCTTAGCTATCGGCATCGGCTAACTCTGTCATGACGTGCGAGGTCGGCTATCAGACATTGAATGATCATCTCAGCTTCTCCATGCCGCAACCGCAGCCGTGTGCCGTCCGTCCTTGTCGCAATGCTTCACCGGCACCACAAATTATTATTACACGTTTGATTGAGTCTCAACACACGCAGCACCCATGTTCAGATCAAAGTTTCTTCTTTCTGAAGAAGGGTTTCCTCCGATTTGTGTCACCATAAACCATAGAGTGTTTTAGAGTTCAAGAACACCGGTACCAAAAGAGTAAAAGGGAAACACAAAAGGAAACAACATCCATCAGCAATCTAACCAGCTGACCATATCAAGTTAGTGAGGACATCAACAAAGCCAGGGTCGCTCGCGATGTCCATATCAAGGCTCTGCTCCTCTTGGGACATCCGCAACGGTTGTGAGCTTGTCTAGACTATAGAGAAAATACTCCCTCCGTTTTTATTTACTCCACATATTAGAGTCGACTGAAGTTAAACTTTGTAAAGTTTGACCAAATATATTGAAAAGAATATATATACGGGGAGTGCTTCGGTACACCCCCCTAAAACGTATAAGGATAGTATGGTCATTTCACATTAGGTATAGGAATACCCACCTCGACGCCGTACGCCCGCGCGCGACGTCGTACGCCCGCCCGCGTATGCCGCACCCGTCGCTGTACGTACGCCTGCCCGCGTACCCGCACCCGTCGCTGTACGTCGCCGCCGTACGCCCGCACGTCTCCACGTTGGCGTCGATAGTTATTGGAAAAAAAACGACACGGTAGCCGCCGACGCCCGCCGTCAAAACCCTAAACCCTAAACGCTTCCACGCCGTCTCCACGACGACCCCCATCTGCACGAAGTCGCCGTCGCCCGGGTCGCCGCCCAAACAGGCCGCTGCGCGTGCCCCGGCACCGTTGCCGCTGCCACCGCGTCCCATTCCCGTCGCCCAGATGGCCGCCCACCCGTGATCTTCGTCGCCGCCTCCCTCCGCGCACTCCGCCTGCTACGACCAGCCATTGTCCTCACGCCGTCGACACCTGCCTCCGCCGGCTAGCAACGTCACGCCGTCATCGCGTTCGTTATCGGACAAAATGGATCCGGCTGAAATCCTCGCCGCCGTGCCAGAGGTTGGTTTGAGACGTCGTTGTGCTTGATGAACAAATTGTTTTAGGGATGATGTTACACGGTGTTTGATTGATCTTAGAATTTTTTTTAAACATGTATAGTTAGAGGAGGAGGGCGATTATGATGGCGATGATTACAGCGAGGACAACGAAACCTCGTCACGGAATATGGATGAACCTGCTGAGGAGAACCACATGAGTTTGGATGAATCTTATAGTGTCAATGTAAGTGTGATCAATGTTGACAAAAACAATAAATATGATAAACCGCACAGACAATTACATGTTTTTTTTGCATCATGCAGCGACATGGCGATGATGATGATGACATGGATATAGATGATTCATTTGCTGAAAGTGCACTCCGGGTATGTTTTTAAAAAAATCAGAGAAGAAATGACATAATAACCATATGAGCGCTTACATGTATTTTTTTGAAATGTGCGCATATGGACGAGGACGGGGACTTTGTGAGGAATATTGTGGACGATGAAAGTGAGAAATCACACGTTGATGCATCTCATGATGACGGCTCCAGCAAAGTAAGTTTTGAAACTTACATGCATTAGATATTAAAATAATATCTGACTGACATAAATGGTTTCATGCATTAATTTACAGGGAGATGTAGATGGTACAAGCGGGAAGGATGAGCATGTTGGTGATGATTTGTTTAACTTTGACATCGGATTTGATGAATATCAGCAAGAATCATTGAACATGCATTGAAAGGTCATGAGGAAGACGTTCAAGTCACTAGGAGAGGCTTACAATTTCTATAACCAGTATGCTTACGAGCGTGGTTTCAGCGTAAGAAAGGACTCACCGAAATATTCGAAAGGTCCTGAGGGAACTAAGTGAGGGAGTCCTGGATTAGGAGGTCCTCGGACGGCCGGACTATGTACTTGTGCCAGACTGTTGGACTATGAAGATACAAGATTGAAGACTTCGTCCCGTGTCCGGATGGGACTCTCCTTGCGTGGAAGGCAGGCTTGGCAATTCGGATATGTAGATCTCCTTCTCTGTAACCGACTCTGTGTAACCCTAGCCCCCTCCAGTGTCTATATAAACCGGAGGGTTTAGTCCATAGGACAATAACAATCATAATCGTAGGCTAGCTTAGAGGGTTTAGCCTCTACGATCTCGTGGTAGATCAACTCTTGTAATACTCATATCATCAAGATCAATCAAGTAGGGTATTACCTTCATCGAGAGGGCCCGAACCTGGGTAAACATTGTGTCCCCCGCCTCCTGTTATCATTAGCCTTAGACGCACAGTTCGGGACCCCCTACCCGAGATCTGCCGGTTTTGACACCGACATTGGTGCTTTCATTGAGAGTTCCACTGTGCCGTCACGGTAAGGCTTGGTGGCTCGCCTTGTTATCAAGGACAACATCACCACTGGGGGAGCCCTGGCTGTAGGCCAAACTCTCCGACTAGGCGGCTTCGTCATGACCGCCCATTCGGCCACCGCGCCGACGATGACTTCTGCGGTCATCAAAAACAGCCTCCACGTCAGCTCGGAATTCACCGAGCAGATGGATCCAATGGAGCTCTCCTCCCTGAACAAGCTCTTGGATCGCATCACCGCCTTGGGAGTCGCTACGGACTATGATCGGATCGGGCTTAAACCCGACCAAAGAGAGATTAACTCTCCGCCGGTCACCCATCAGATAGCGATGGTGGAGGAGCAATGCAGCGATTTTTCCTCTATTTTGAGGACGAACTATGTCCGGATTCCTGAGCTCTCCGAGCCGGATACCCGTCTACGGGAGGACATGACCCAAGCTCCAAACCTAGAATCGGACAGCGGGCCAGAGAAATTGGGCAACATCCCGGAGCCCGAACTGCCAAAATCGGAAGCTCCTTCGCCCCTGGGTCTCAGATCGAGTCAGGGTTTGGATTTAACTCTACCCACCCACCCAGATACAAGCGATCTTGCCCACATTAGAAAGGATCCCCAAGAGACAATACATCACTTCTGGGCCAGATTCCTCCTTGTAATGAGCAAGGTCAAGGACTATCACGAGGAAGACGCAATCTCATTCTTTTGCAAAAATTGCACGGACAAGGGAATCCTCAACGCAATAAGTCGCCGTGACATAGCACACTTTGCTGACTTGGCGGCCATAGTACAGAAGTACTGTGCGATGAAAAGA